AGAATATAAAAGTAGAAGTCATTTTTATATATTTTTTTTCTTACAATATGTTGCACTGTATTGCAACAAATTGCAATGTATTATAATGCAAAAAGTCAAACAACAACCTACGAAAATACAAGTTCCAATCCATTTAATAACATCTTTATGAGTTCGAAATGGTTTCAAATAAAGCAAATGAGTTAAAGAAAAGTAAGAATAAAAAGTAGTCCGTCATTTTTAGATTATGTTTTTCTTAAATATAATACACTGTATTGCAACATATTGCGATGAACTATAATACAAAAAACTAAATAATAACCTATGAAAATGCAAGTTTGAATCCATTTAATAGTATCTTTGAATTTCAAATGGTTTCAAATTAAGCAAATGGGTAGAAAACAAAAATGGAAAAGTAGTAGTCAGTTTTAGTTTTTTTTTCCGCTTGTAATGCATATAGTGTAATGCAAAAACCAAACAATAACCTATGAAACTCCAAGTTACAATCCAACAATTCTCATTTAACCTGCTCTTTTTTATTGCAATGCAAAAATTTAAACAATAACCAAGAATATTCAAGAGCATCTATAACAATAAATAACTTCCCTCCATCTAAATGGCAAAGTTAAATCATTAATACAAAGGAATATTTGTCCATAATTGGAAGGCCAGTTGTCTTGTAAAATAATTCATGTTCTCGTGATTTAGAGTTCCAAAATGAGCACCAGTTACAATGTATTCGAAAAACTTAATCATAAATACACCGCAATCATTACCATTATGTCATTAGGTTGAATTGGTGTCGAATCTACAATTACAACTTGTCAAAGCTGCACACGTTCAAGTGACGCATCTCCGCTATCAAAGAATCCAGTATTGTGCAACGTCAATGACATTAATATTTGCACTAACTCAAAAAAGTAAAAACAATGTCATCTCTTCTATTGTATAATATAACGGGAGGGAATCTCATACCCTATCATCTATATTTTTTAAATAGCTCCAAATAAATCAAATTGGTAAAAGGAAAACAAGAATATCTAAGAGAGACGACCATTTTACATTATGTTTTTTTTTCTTGCAATATATTGCAATGCCAAAATCCAAGCAATAACCTATAAAAATGCAAGTTTGGATCGATTCAATATCATCTATATTTTCTAAATAGTTTAATAAAGCAAATTGGTAAAAGAAAAACAAAAATATCCAAGTGAGATGACTATTTTCCATTCTGTTTTTTTTTCTTTCGATATATTGCAATGCCAAAAATCTAAGCAAGAACCTGTAAAAAATACATATTAAATGGATTGAATATCATCTCTAGATGGCTCCAAATAAAGCAAATCTATGAAAGAGAAACAAAAGTATCCAATAGAAATGACCATTTTACGTTATAGTTTTTTTCTTACAATATATTGTAATATTTTAGAATGCCAAAATCAAACAAGCAAACCAAAAATTCAAGTTATGAAGAAGAAAATACAAGCTACGAAGATGAGAATGCTTAGAAGAATAACAAAATTAAAACGAAGAACCAAGAAAGAGAGCTGATGGAACTAAAATAGTGTTTGGTTATGTCATCGAGTAAGAGCATACTTGAACCAAGCTTACTGAAATTTGTTGTCGCTGCTTGAAGCAAACTCACCGGAGTTTGTCGTCTTGTTCGCATGTGCTACAAGGAAAAGATTTGCTAGATTTCGTTCGTTTGGGAGTTTGTTCATGTCACACCTCAGTCGTATGGGTTTAGCACTGCCGTCATCGCCTCAATCTTCAAAATAAATGGAAGCTTGGTCGTCATAAGAAATTGAAGGTCAGCGACATGTGTGAGTGTTTTTTCGGTGTGAGGAGGTTTCAAAATTGAGGATTTCACGTGGGAGTTAAATTTGGGGGAAGGGGAACCGTAACAAGGATAGTTATGATTTTTCATCTCTTAAAAGTTATAGTACTCTTTAAATGAAAAAGTGGTATTAAATCTCTTTAACCCTATTAAAAAGGTCTTACTTTTGGCAATTTCTAAAACAATTTAATACCCCATTGTTATTTATAATATTTCGTGTTAGTGCTATTAAAAAAAATCATGTTTCGCATTTGCATAATTAATGCATTTTTCATCTTATTTTAACCATTTTAACTTTCACACTAATTTCAATTCAAATTAAAAATCTATCATTTAATTGTGTTCTGTACATTTAACAAAAAAAAAAAAATTAAGTGATGTATTTGTACAAGTTTAGAATAAATTTGAAGACAAATTAATGATGAAAACATAAAATAATGCAGTACAAAATATAAAGACTGAAAATGACCAAACAATCCATCCGAATTAACTACCCCAAAAACAAAGAGAAACTATCCTTAATTTCCATTAAAAGAAAATAAGTGACGCAAACATATTATCAAAAAAAAAAACTTAAAATTATAATTTACTACCTAAACTTTTCTCCAATAAATTCCTAAAACTTAGTATTTAGTAGGTTTCTAAACTTAGAATATTAAATTCAATAGGTCCACAAACGTCCCAAAATTTTTAATTTTGTGATTATGTAATCTATTAGATATTCCTTAAAATCAAGAAATTATTTAAACTAGTTTGTTACCACGTGCCCTATGAATCTATATCTAATTACATAATTCTTTTTATAATTATTAGAATAATTTTTAACATGAAATATAAATAATATATTAATTATTATTAATAGATATTATACCATTTAAAATTTTGTCAAATAATCAAAAATTAATTTTATGTAATTTTTTGTTTTATAAAAATTGGTTAATGTTAAACATTAACCTGCCTATTAATTGAAAAATAAAAGATATATTATAGAACTAATAATAAATTTTAAACCTTTTATTCAAATAACATTATAATATTATAAAATTATTAAGGACTATAATAAACACTAAAAAGAAATTGAATACTTCCTTTTGAATTAAATAATTTTGTCAATTATTCCTCTCAAATATTTGGTAACTCACTTTTAAAATTTTTATGATAATATATTTATATTATTGTTATTAGAAAATAAGACAAAAATAATTTTAAAACATGCTAAATTTCTTAGACAAATTGAATCTACAGGACATTAAGCTAATAAATTTCAAAGCAAGCACAAATATTCTAAAATAAAAGTAATATGAATTATAAAAGAATAATGAAAAAAAAAAATAGTATGTAAAAAAGCAAAACAAAAAAAAATCTAGATATATACACATTTGTTAAAATAGAATTTGTCTCATCTCATAGTTTTAAAACAAACATCATTGTTAAACTACATCTAAGTGAAATTATATCATCTAGAACTGGATTTGAGATATAGATTTGACTAATCTCATCCAAATTTTATGTATCACATATCTTGAGCTACTTCAATTTCAAAATTAAAGAGATCTTGAGAGCGACAGATTGAGAGACTAAAACATGCCTCCTTTTATAGCAGAGGACGGAAAAAAGTTATAAAACTTTTTGAAATTTTTTTTTAAATTATTGAGGAATGAAACGGCAAATCTTTTCGTATTCTATCTTTTTTACCCTCTGCGTATTTATTGTTAATAATTAATTAATTTGCTATTCAAGAATAATTGTTAATGAGATATTTTGTAAATTTAAAATTTGACAATGGATAAAATAGTCTATTTTTTTAGAGGTTACTTTTTAATAGATTATAGATCTAAAATTGTTGAGATCCATTTTTTTAAAATTAACTTTTTAATAGGTTATAGATCTAAAATGGTTGAAATCATTCACTCGTTCATAAATTAAATAATAACATTTTAATTTATACTAAAAAATTAATAATAACACTCTTTTAGTATTCCAACTTTTTAAATTTCATATACTTGTTATAATTGACAATTAATTTGTTATTTATTATTGATAATTAATTAATTAATTTAATACTTAACATTAATTTTATATACCATATTTTATAAGTTTATAAGTTGAAGAAAAGGTGATAGTCAAAAAATGATTTTTCCGATCTTCCATTTTTAATATATTATAGATGTTGAACTTTTTAACCTGATATCAAATTAAAAATAAAGAAATTCAAATGATAGTAACAAAAAAGAACATTAATTATAAAAGAACAACAAAAAAAACAATAGTAAAAAAAATATTTCAATCCTAAATACACATGTTCACTCTTAATAACTACTACGGTTCCTTTACAACTTGATGAATATGCCACCAACATCTCGAGATGTTTCAAGATTCTTTGAGAGATGTTTTGAAGAAACTAAAAATAATAGTACAAGATAAAAAGTTAGAGAAACTTTTGATGTTCTAAAAGTTTTTAAATTCTAGTATAAATTATAATCAAAGAACAAATTAATTTGATGTTGTAAGGAAACTTTTTGGATTCCTAACCTTTTAAATCCAATGCATTTATTAGTATTGTTAATTAATAATTAATAAATTATTTTAATATTTATAATAATATATTAATGGCATAGTTGGTAAATTAATAAATTTATTAAGGGACAAAAATATCCAAAAATATTTTTCCTACCTTCTTTTTTAATATAGTATAAATTTTTTGTGATACATGTGAAGATGAGAGATTGGACCTAAACACTTCCTAAAGTTCGAGGGATAACATTAAAAGCTTAGAAACCTATTAGACCTCATTTAAAGTTCAAGGTCGTATTAGATACAACTGGTCCCTAAAGCGATCCACGACCCTCCTTGAAGATCACTCCAAAAGATCAACCTAAATATATCTTTTAATTATTACTAAATCTAATTTTAAACCAAAGTCATCAAACACACCCAAACAGTTGAACAATAAGCAGAAACTGTTCATCAAAGAGCAAAATCTCTTGCGTTCGTGCGCCTAGTGACACTTTTGACTATCATTGGGAACTCAAAAAAGACATGCTCCCTATCAAAGAATTTCCACATGTGTCTTCCTCAATGAACAAACATAATTTCAGTTCTGTTCAAAGAATAATCAATAGAAATCAAAAGAACCCACCTTTTCGAATGTCTAATTACGCCAGGCTCGACATGACCTGAAATGTTGACACGAGCAAAGTAGCTTTGAGCTTATATTTATGCTACTTGAAAACAATCAGCATTTCGGCTTAATCTAAATGCTATTCTCTCAACATTCTATATTTGGTGATCATATGTGCCAATTAACTTTTAATGTTCAAAAGAAAAACATTATTGAAAGTACAGCAAGAAATCCAAACCTTAGATGCTAACAAATCCATTGATCCATCTAAATAACGGATAAAAAAAAATTAAAAACTATTCATCGAATGTGATGAAGTTCACCATTTAATCCTCGTATTCGCCAGCATGTTCCAAGAGATAGTTGGCAGCCAATTCCTCATTGCGGTCGCAAGCTAAAAATGCCTCAATCACTTGATCTCTATCAAACCCCATTGCTTCCAGCTACAATGGGTGTACAAGAGAGAAGACAGTAAATAGATTGTTGATTGATATCAGGACGTATTTAAATGAAGATAACTTACTCGTTCGATCGCTTGCTGCTCAGCTGGCGTGACATTGATAGCATGGGGCATGTCTTGGTCAGGCTGATCAAATAGATCCCTGGAAGAAAAGAAAAATTCAGACACATGTCTATAAACAAATATAAAGCATTGGCAACAAATGGACGAGAAGACTTGCCCTTCGAAGCCCTCAAGAGGCTCATTTATTAACTGGAGAAACTCTGCTTGATGATCCTGAATTAATCTCAAAAGCTGAGGGTTCTGCTTCCCAAGCTCCTGAAGCATGGCCTGAAACAGAGGTAAAGTTCACACGACTTGAGATTTAGCCAAAAGAACCACAGATTCAAAGCCGAGTCTTTAAGAAGAATAAGACAAACCTGTAATATCTGCGGATTGGCTTGCACCATAGACCGCAATGCTTGGAACTAACATTCGTGTGGATGGTAACAGTACATGTCAGATTTGTCAGAATTAATGCAAATAAATGGAAGCCTAAACAGATCATATAATCAAGTGACATAAAGAAATGCCCTTTGGCTGTAATGTATTTTTTACTTTGCAATTGTTTGCAATACTATGCTCAAGTTGACTGATCATCTTTTCAATTAGCATGAGACTTCAAAGAAGATGCCACGGCTCAGTAAGCTAGGCAGCAAAGATGAACATGTTCTGATCAAAATTGTTCTTAATAATGAAAATTTTCAAAACCAATGAAAAAGTTATCAGAAGGCCATAGGCATTATGGCATTATAGTCATACCAAAATCATTATAAAAAATAAAATAAAAGAGAGAGAAAAAAAAAACGGGGAGAAATAAAGAATACCTGTGGATTGTTTCTAAGGAACTCAAGAGATCCAAGGCTACCACCACCACCACCAGCAGCAGTAGCACCAAGGGACTCCTAAAGCACTAGCTCTCAATGAGTATTTAAAAAGAAGAAAAATGATAAAAAATGACAAAATTTCAAACCAAGTACAAAGTCCTACCTGTGGAAACATATTCAAGGGAGATGAGTTAGGAGCTCCAGAAACAGGGGTAGCAGTTGCACCACCTGTTTCCATAGGCTGGCTAGTTGGGGGACGAGCCACCGGAGCTGCAACTTCTGTGGTTTCTGGAATACCCTGAAAATAAAGCCACATCCAGTAACTAATTTGACACAAAACTAAAAAGACTATTAGTGAAGCAGTTTAAACATACAGAGTACAAATAATCTACTGCCCGCTCTGGATTATTATAAGCTGCACGAAGTGCACGGGTAACCGTTTCTCTATCCCAGTTGCCACCACCCATATCCATTATTTCTTGAATAGTCTGCTCAAGGTTATTCCCAGAAACTAAATTTGAAGCAGCTTGTCCATATGTATCGATTTGCGCACTGCAGCATAAGAAGATATATATATGTGTATATAATTCTTTTTTATAAGAAACCAAGCTTTCATGGAAAATATAAAAGAATATACAAGGCATATCAAAAAACAAAACAGCCTAATAAAATGAGTTCAACCGGTCAACCCTAAAGAAAGGGACTCCAATCCACATCTAACTGATGATTACAAAAAAGGGGGAAAAAAAAACCTTTGAAACCAAAGCCCACAAAGAAGTATTAAATCTGATCAAATCCTATGATTCCTCCCAAGAATTCTAACCCCTCTAAATGTTATGTTAAATCTAATCAAATCCCACCTATCCTCCAAAAATTTCACAGCATAACAAAAATATTAGATAGATACCTCATGGTATTAAAGTTAGAGCATTGACCCAATCACATAAAGAATCTCCAAAAGTGAACAAGAAAACTTGCAGGCAGCAAATTATAGATTCAAAATGATACAGTAGTAAGCAGAAACAGAGCTCATACTTTGTTGTTGGCACATCTGAAGTAGCGACATCCCTTGAGGCTCTGCAAAAGCAATATAGGATTATCTAACTGAAGTGCTGCTAAGTGGGAGAGGACACTATACTGGGATCATCAATAAACTCACGGTGGTTGTGTTTGTGTAGGAGCTTCAGGAGTGGAAGTAGAATTTGATGTTGGAGTAGTTGTTGGTGCATTGGTAGTTGTCTGTCAAGTAGACATACAAAATCAGCTTCAGACAGAAATGCACATAAATTACATTATTGCCCACAAAAAAAGGAGGTAAAATATTTAACCTGAGTAGATGATGACCCAGCTGAACCAACTGTTTTACTCTGTCATTAAGAAAACCAGTGAGACAAAATAAATAAATAACGATACAAATCCAGGAATCTCAGAAAGAGAAAAAGTGATGACAATAAATTAAACAAACGCATGACTGAACAAAAACTCTTGAAAAATCAATGAATTAACAAATAACAAGTAACCACTATTTAGGTGGACAATCCGGAGGAATAATAATACAATTTGTTGTGACATTACCAATCTTATGACAACTCTTTTTTTATATTCGTAAATGTCAGGGCTAGCTTGCGCACGTCTCAAGTAATCTCACGGAACAACCGTCTGACCCTACAATATTTGGTTGCTAAGAAAACTCATAGAGTATTAAAACCTAGATAGGTGGCCACTATGATTTGAACCCATTCTTTCTAAATTCTTTAGAATTTACCTTGACCCCCTTTGGATCACTGGACCAATCCATGATGGTTATYTGTTAAGATTTCAAATATAAGAAAGTACAAGATAACTAACTATATTGCAATATCAAAGGGACGTTACAACATCGCCAACCTCAACATAGCATAGCGAGTTAAGACATATGTGTTCGACTAGAAGGTCGTGAGTTCAAATCCCTCCACCCCCAGATGTTGTATTAAAAAAAAAAAGCCACGTTACAATATCAAAAAAATTTCGAGAAGGCTATCTCTCTCCCAAGAACTATGCTAAGTCCTCCCAAGTCTCACCTTAAACTATTCCAACCAGATGTCCTCTCCCTATTACATCTATTTATATCCAACTTACCCCTAACTAATTACCACAATGTCCCTAACTAATATACAAATACTATTTCCAAACTATCCATATTAGGACTCTCACATTACCCCACCCTTCAAAGACACCTTGACCTCAAGGTGTGGTTAAACAAATTTAACCTTTTTTTTCACCAACAAAATTAGAAACCTAGTCAGATATCTAACTCTAGGTTTTGAATCTGTTGTTCTGATGGGTGTGCGGCGGACGGTGGCTCGTGCGGTAGATGGTGGTGGTGGGTGGCATACAACCTAGTACGATAGCCGGTGGTGATGGTGTGCGAGTCGGCAGGGTAGTGGCAACGCCAGACAATGGCGTGCAATGGTGTGCAACAACAATGGCGACGTTGGTGTGTGACAAACGCATCGGACAACAACATGCAGCAGACAGCAGCACACTTGTTCGACAGATGCATGACGGGCAGCAGCGGTCATCGTAGAAGCAGAGTCTGCGTGAGATGGAGGATGACACCGAGTCCATTCTGTGGTGCGACATCGCACCCTGCATGTAGTCGTGTGGAAAAGGGCAACAGTAGAAACGTCGGTGGTGAAAATTGCCCTCGCACAACGACATTGGTGGTGCAGGTGAACGACGGTTGGAGGGTTTCTTGTGGCGAGTAGGGTTACTTTCTCCACATGGGTAGGGTGTTTGCCAAATCGGGTCAAGTTTTGGGATTAAATCCATATGCCAAAGTATCCAATATTTTTGTCTTTTTAACAAATCGGCCTTTTTAAATTGGTTTAGCCCTAGCTCCAGCCTAAATAGTTTATTTCCTTTAGATACAACCTTGTATGGTTACCCTAACCCTAGCCTCATGCTTTCTCCCCCCGTGCACCTTACTTTTCCATAGTCGCCCAACCCTCTTACGCAACTTATTTTTCTGCCACTTCTTCCTCTGTCAGCCACCATCTAATTCTGATCTGATGCACGCCGAACTCTTGTCGTTCCTTCTTCACCCTCCGATTTCTCCTTCATCTTGCTTTTCGAACTCATTCCATCTTCACCTACTTCCCTTCTGCTGCTTCTTCGTTCGCCATCCGTGCAACTCTGACCCCATGCCCACCAGAATCTTGTAGTTCCCTCTTTGCCATTTTATTTCTCCTTCGTACTTCCTTTCAAGCTTTTTTTGTCGTGGTCATTGCCTCCTTTTTCTCCTTCTCAATATCCTCACCCTCGGTCAACGACTATTCTTCTCGTATGTTTTCAAAGGATGATCCTTGCACGGAAACGCTTTCAAACCTTGATTGATTTTCCATAGCACTCTAGTCGGGATTCTTGGGTTCGATCGCCACCTTCTAACAACCCTCCGCCCCTGCTTCCGAACGCCTAATAGCTATAGGATGGGTCTCTTAGATGTTGATCCTTTCAACAATTTGACTTCGCTAACCCATTTTTCATTTATCGCATTATCCATCGTGCTTCTTCTACCGGTAAACCCCATTGAATTTCTCTCATAATTTCACTATCTTCGACCAACAATCTCTGTAACTTCAGCACTGATTCTAATACAAGACCCATGGCCAGAATTGATGATCTCATGCCAATTTGTTAGGAACCCGAATGCAAGAAAGTAACAAGATAACTATATTGCAATATCAAAGAGACATTACAATATCAATAGCCTTTCAAGAGGGCTATACCTCTCCCAAGACCTATACTATGTTCTCCCATCTTAAACTATTCCTCCCAGATGTCCTCCTTCTCTCCCTATTACCTCTATTTATATCCAACTTACCCCTAACTTATTATCATAATGTCCCTAACTAATATACTAATACTATTCCCAAACTATCCCTATTAGAACTCTCACATTATCTTATCACAACTCTTATGAATTTCATTTAACTACGTTTAAAACCTTTTTTTTAGATAAGAAACTTCTCTGTATTGATCAAAAAAGAAAGAACAAACTAGAGGCTGGGGTAGAGGAAACCCCACCAAAAAGCTAAACAACCGCTTTCCAATTGTGCATAAACATGGAAAGGTTGTAATTACAAAAGAATTTGCTATAATTGATACGCCACCGAGAGGTCGTGTGCTGTACATTCCTACAAAAAAGTAGTTAACTTATCTTCAAACATGCGAGAATTTCTTTCTAGCCATAGATTCCAGAGGAGAACCCTCGAAGCACATTTCCAAATAAACTTAGTCTTCTTAGGAAGAGTCCACCCGTATAGCACTTCAACCATCCAATCATCTATCATTTTTGGGAAGCAAACAGAGATTTCAAAGGTGTCTAATAGGAGAAACCAGTTCTTTTCCACAAAAGAACAGTGCAGAAATATGTGATCTATATTCTCACTGTGATTCAAACAAAAGGAGCAGACCGAAGGGGATAACACCCAATTCTTGCACTTTTTTGTAAATTCTCATGTGTATTAAGGCTTCTATGAGCTAGAGACCAAAGAAAGACTTTGATCTTTTTTGGGACCTTAAAATTTCATATTGCCGAGATGAGGGGTGATCTCAAAGAAGGGCTACGATCCATCAGCTTCAAACAGGCTGAGCGAGAAAGAACTGACCATTTTTTCCTAGAGACCACAAAACCCGATCCTCTCCCTCCCCCAATCTCACCACATCGATAACTTGGATAAGATTTATCCAGTTTTCAAGCTCCCAAACAAAAAGACCTCTCCCAATCGTTCTCATTAGCATTCCAACACTCCATGACTATTGCTTCCTTTTTGGTAGAGAGATTGAACATGTCAAGGAACATCTTTTGGAGAGAATCATTCCCAATCCAAATGTCTGACCAGAATTTAATTACATTCCCTTTCCTCATCTTGAACTCAAGGAACTTGGAAAAAAACGAGCTATACTTGAAAATATCGAACCACGGTCTTCCCCTGGCACATCCTTTAGGAGGAAGGGTATTCCACCAGTGAGGATCTTCACCGTAAATGCTAACTATAACCTTCCTCCAAAGAGCATTGTCTTCGTGAGTGAATCTCCAAATCCATTTAAGGAGTAAACTATTGTTCTGTCGTTGTAAAGCTCCTATACCAAGACCTCCATATTGCAACGGAAGAGCGGTCTTTCCCCAATTCACCAGGTGAGAAATAGAGCCATTATCGCCATTCCCTTTCTAGAAGAAATCTCGAGACAGCTTCTCAATTTCATTTATGACCTTCATAGGAGCCTTTAAAATTGAGAAGAAGTAGAGGGGAAGACTTGTGATCACCGATTGCGCGAGAGTGAGTCTACCACCTTTTGAAACGAAGAGGTTCTTCCATTTGTCTATCTTTTGCCTTACTTTATCAATCAGAGGATCCCAGAAAGCTTTTTTCTTATAATTGCCACCCAAAGGAATTCCCAGATAGGAAAAAGGAAGCCAAAACCTTTGGCCACATAGTCTGCTTCTAATAATGCAAAGCCATAAATTTTGATAAAACTATGTCTCCCATTTAACCAAATAGGTAGTCAACATAAAACATAAAAACAAAGTTCGCACTATTTCCCACAAGCAGATCTAGACTTCACATCCTGCTCAATAACTATCGGTAAGGGATTAACCCCAATAACCAACTTACTGCATGAAGAAACTATTTAACGAAACGGAATAAAGATCAAGAACTCCTGTATACATATCAAACTTATATTAAGGAATGGTAATGGCAAATTATAAATTTTTTTTTGTTTTATAACTGGGAGTCGGAGCTTTACCCAAGGGCACCCGCACCCACCCAAGGCCCAGACCCAGAGACATCAAGGATTTTTGGTATTAAACTCACCAGAAGGTTTGAACCTGAGACCTCTAAGCCAATGTGACCAAGAGATCTCAAGTCCTTGCCAACAGGGCTGCGCCTTGGAGCCAAAATTATAATCATCAAACCACTATCTTGACATCATCTATGTCACAAAGAACAATATTATTTAGACATTCTAGAAAGAACCGTTTCCTAAAACAATGATTTTAAGATACCATTTGAAATAATGAAAGGAATTGTATGAATATATTCAACAACAAGATTAAATTTTCTTGCATATAGAGAATGATTCATAATATAGTTATTGTTGTCGTTCACAAGACATCTCAGCATGAAAATATCTATTACCAAACATATCATATTTTTCATGGAAGTGTAAAAAAATTCTAATATTTACCCTTGGGTGTTAAAGTAACATCAATATAACTTCACACTTTGACAGATGTTGAACATCAAAACATGAGCCACTAGGCCAATGATAGCCACAAGATGGATACTAATAGTATACTACAGTGACTTTAATCCGCAATTCTCATAATATAAAAGAAGATAATCGTGTAGTAGTTCATCATAGCCAAAGCCATTTGTATATATGCAATATAATAGTCAGAAAAGCAGCCTTATTGTTTCTTAAAGGGTATTCAAGTTAGCTACAACACAACATACCTTACTAAGCATAACAACGAGAAAACCATCTCCAGAAACCTTGTTCTCTGCTAGGGTTGTTTCATCTTTTAAAACCTTCCCATTGTGGATTAACAATTGCTGACCACAAGGATAATTATCTTTTCCTTGTACATCTTCAATGTTCTTCTTTACACCCAAGACCTAGTTAGGTGGACAAAAGGTAGAAGAATATTCAATAAAATTAAAAAAAGAAAGACATTTAACTTGTGTAAAAGAAATCATTTCCAGCATGATTTACGAATCACCGACATATGTTAAGCTCTTTAATAGACAATTTACTTCTCATAAAAACATAGAATGCCATAAAAATAATGTCATAGATGTAATTAATAGCATAAAAATGTGTAAAATAAATAAAGCTAATAGAGGGTACTGGGCAGGACGAGCTAGGATTGAACTCATAAAAACATACTATGGCATAAAGTAATGCTGTAGATACAATTAATAGGACAAACAAATGCACTAAAGAGATACGTAGGAGTCAAAATCAACTTCAGATTGGAGATATAATAAAACCGCTCTCCAGCTAACCAATATAAAAAAATGAGTGGTCGTGAGATCTTTGGCCCCTTTCTTCTTAGAGATATATGACACACAATCAGTCCCAAATCTCATGACCTTAATCTCCCTCAGGCATTAGAATCCTAACTTTGACTTCCACTATCTCACAGAAGTAGCAAAAACTGCACCCCACAAAATAATTTAGAGAAGTCCGTACAGAAGTTAAATAAAAAGGGGTGCCTTCACTTCAACTCCAACCAAAATCGAAGTAACCCAACACAGCTGGACCATGTTTCAGAGTCTACTGTATGAGTTCCCGCCAAGGTGATAGTGGACAAACAAGTCATCAATATCCCCCACTTTCCTAATGGAGATTGTATTTCAGAAGATTAAGGAATGCGAGACGGTGCCTCTTTTTAATTTTCACCATGTGTATAATCCTTCTAAGGGTCATCATCCAAACAAAATCCTAAGTATTCTTAATAACCTTCAACCTGAAAATCAACATAAAATAACGGGGAGTAAAAGGTTGATGCAGAGAAATGGAACAAAGATTTCCATTTAAAATCCTTGAATGTTCTAAATACTGGTTGTCCTGGTCGTTATATGATAATTTCCTAAAAAATATTACATAAATGTGCAGTTCCATCACCTACTTGTATATATTCTATAACAGGCCAAAAAAAGGGTAAAAGTTGACCTCAACTATTTTTGTCCCAAAGAGGTGAACGTAAACCTCAATCTAAAAAAAATCATAAAGTACAAAATCGTGTGTTATTAAATATAATGGTTATTCAAAGTATAAAGACAAAAAAGTCTCACGTCCACCAATTGTAGCATTCTTTCTTAGTAAAGATTCTAACATCAGTGTGATCACCTTATTGTTTATTCCTGGCTCAAGTACTAATATGCCAAACAACCACAACAACATGTTGTAGTAGCATTAATTACATAATGAATTTTTGTACTTTAAAATTTTAAATAATAGGCAGTATTTCAAGCCATTGCATGAATTACAAAACTTCTGAACTGAACCTCACTCCGTTTTGGGTGTTGGGCTATTCTAACAAGAGGCAAACACCTTTTATTAACCAAAAAGGACAAGGGTAAAAAAATTGTCACGCCTCAAGGTCAACCTAGGCATAACTCCTAAAAGGGCCATTTAACATACTGATTATTTAATCATAATGGAAGCAATAAATAATGAAGACCTAAACCCATGTAGAATACTTGGAAGTTAGAAGAAAATAGAGGACCATAATAAATCACAAAGTAGAACAACAAAGAATTAAAAAGAAAGAAAAAACTAAGAATATCATTGCTCCAAGTAATGAAAAAGCAAATAGTGCATTATTATGCAAACCAAAAGCTGACTTTTAAATTCAAATCGACATTTAAGTGTGCCCGGCAGAAATTGAACTTCGAAATATAGAATGGGTTGGCAGCATCTCCTACAAAAATATAACTGATAACGCAAATAACGAACAAACAGACAAAAGGAACATAAAAACGGTGAAGAAACAATAACCTGGAAGGGAAACATTGTGGTCAATATGCAACCATCTATACCACCATTGATTTGATGACCCTCTAAAGGAAACTTCAATTTGCAATAAAAATTCGCCAACCAAAATCAATAAAAATAGAAATTCACGGACCCCTCTCTCCAATTCACATCATCCACCAAAGAACACAAGCGCATTAACAGAAATTCGATATTCTATCTCAATCCGGTGAATTTTCCATTATCCAACGCAACCAAACATG